GTACAAAGTGAATATTTTATATGTGCCCATATTGTGTAATAGTCAAATCAAGGTATTTAGCAGGTCTCTCACCTCAAATATTTATCTTATGACAGGAACATTCACTGTCCTCTCTAGCTACTTTGAAATATAGCTATTGTACAACAGCTCACCAAAACTTCGACCTCCTAAGTGTGACTTTGAATCCATTGACCAATCTCTCTATATCCCATCTCCTTTACCCTCCTGAGCCACAGAAAATCGTTCTTCATTCCACTTCCCTGCATCCACTTTTTTAGATTACATATATGAGCATGAACACATGGTATTTATTTTTATGCCCCTAGATTATTTCACCTAGCATAATGATTTTCTGGTTAATCTACATTGTGTAAGTGACCCAATCTTTCCTTTTTTTAAAATGACTGATCAATATTTCATTGTGTATATACACCAAATTTTCTTTATCCATTCATCAGTTACTTGGTGGTTAGATTGATTCCCTATCTTGGCTATTCTGAATAATTCTGCAACAAACACAGTGGTGTAGACATTTATTCTAAATACTTGATTTCATTCCCCACTAAATTCTAACAACATTCAGAATAAACTTGGGGGAAAATTTTTTCCCTAGAGCACCCAAATAAAAATTGAGAATAGTAAGCACCTTGATTTCTTCTTTGTGATGTTTTGAGCAGAGAATTCAGTTTCTGTATTTGCTTTTTTTTTCCTACAGAACTGTGTTATTTTACAGCCCTAAGTTTGTAGTAATTTGTTACAAAGCAATAAAAACTAATATTAATATGTTTTTCATGTTCTGAAAATAATACAATTAAAAAGATATACCCTTTTTGAATGCTCCAAATGATAAAACTTTAAAATTTGCTACTATATTTCATACAAAATATTTTTTTTAAAAATTAGCCATTAATCATTTTCCAATACTTAGGAAAGATAATCTCATAAACACAAGGAAAAATTCTTGTTTTAAGTAACCCACAAAGCAGAAGTTCAATCATTTTGTTGTACATGCTGAGATTTGAACATAACTTAAGTGAAAGAAAGACTTGCAAATAAAAAAGAAATTCTGGGAGTATGGCCAAGCATTTTACATGTTCTAATGGGAATGTCACCAAGGAAAAAGATATATATATATATATATATATATATACACACACACACACACATATGTATATATATACATGTATATATATACATATATATGTATATAGATATATAACATGCACAGTAATCCATTTCAAAATAAGTCATAGTTATAATGCTGTTGACTCTGTTTATTTATTTATTAGTTGTTGATGAACCTTTATTTTCTATGCAATGTGGAGAATCAAACCCAGCACCTCATACATGCCAGGCAAGTGTTCTGCCACTGAGTCACAACCCCAGGCCAATGACTCTGTTTCTTTAAAGACAGACATTAATGTAAGCAGCTACCGGTTCAGAATTATGGGACTACGAGGAATTTCTTTAAGTATAACCTGTCACATGTGAGTGGATGTTAGTACTGGTTATGGGAGTATATGATTATGTGTATATATATATCCACACACACACACATATATACACATACACATATATATATATACACACATTTATAAATACTATATATTATATATACTATATATATATATATATGTATATTCATATAACCAACTCTTTTAGTGACAATTGACATGTTTAACAGTTAAAATGAGGTTTGGAATTCCAATACATAATCTTCAAACAGTTTAATTCAGGGTAATGTTTGAATAAAATTTTTTTAAAATTTTTTGTTCAAAAGATGATTTTTGATAGACTCAAATGGAAATGTAGGAATTCTTTATTTTATTGAAAACTTTTAGATTTTTTTCCCCAAATCATCATGTTATTAAGAAAAAAAGTCTATATTTAGTATTGCTAAAGAATTAGACTATCTGTTTGGTGTATAAGGACACATAATTTGCTCTTTAGTGAATACTTACAAGACCATTCAAATGTTCTAAATTTAAATATTTTGGATGCTTTCAAATTGATCAGGAAATATTAGATACATATCTTAGGAAGTCAATGAAACTATATTATTGGTTACATACATCTATGCCATATTAGCTCAAATATATTTAAAAATAGTAGAAAAAAGTACATGGAATTAGGATCATCTTTAATAACTTTAATCTTATTTCACCTAGTATAATGCTTCTGTCGAATAAACTAAATTATTTGCCATTTTCTTAATGATGAAGGACTTATTTTTCAGAAATAAAAGGTGGATGTATTTTCATTTCTGAGTCTTAAATATATATTTTAATTTATTAGTATATTATTCTTAATTTAATGATAATGTAAATTTTGCATTATACTGTATAAACAGTTTACACATTTTTAGATATCTGCTTGTATGCAAAAATTAAGAAGTTGAAGAAATATAGCTACAGTGTTTCAAAATAATCAGACAAGTAATCACTATGCTTCTAAGTCAGTATTAACTAATTATGAAAATAATTCATAAAATTTTTTCTACATTTTAACAATAAAAGCAAAGACCACCAGTATTATTCAAATCTTTCCTAAACAGGAAAAAAAAATTTACTTATGTTAGTTTACATATTCCCTAATATATACTGACCCTACCTTGAGGGAATCTCCTCTGGTGGCTTTTCTTATAAGATCACAGCAAAAAAATTAGTACATTTTTAAGTTGTAGATGTCAAGTGACAGTCTCAGATGGGAAGGTAGCCAAGCTCCATGATGAGTCAAACTGCAGCCCCAGCACTTACCACAAAGGTCACAAGGGAGAGCTTCTTCACCTCACAGAGCTGCCTTTTGTATGAGTACACCGAAAAACATCCCCTGCCGCATTTGTGCTCCAAGGATTCAGTTAACTAATGCAGGCAAAGCATCTTACACTGCACCATATGTGAAACAGATTCCCAGTAAATGCTCAGTTGTGTCCCTTTTCCATTGAAATTTTGATGATTATTATTGCTGTGTATTTTACACATACAGTCATTTATCAAAATTGGTAAATATATCAATCTATATATGCATTGACTTATTTCTTATTAAAACTTATCCTTTATGTTGTAGTATAAATTAACCTAAAAGTGTATTATGCATATTATGTGAACATCAGGAACCTGTTTGGTATATCCAAACATATATTTTAATCATTCATAAAAATTTTAGAGTCATTTACTTATAAAAGCCATGTGAAATAATTAGCATTAATTTCACTGAAATTAATTTTGTTGATTCTGGTATTAAGATCTAAATTATACTATTTAAAGCTATATTTTAGCTAAAACTTTCTGTCAATTTTCAACAGATTATGATAACCTTATTTCTAATGTTAATCTCCTGTATACGGCCAAGTGTGGTTAAACATATAATTGATTTTGACCCAAATATGGCTGTCTCTCAGAAGAACTCTAAGACAAAAAACAAAAATATTTATATTTTGCTGCATGGTAGAAAATTAAAATTAATATGATTATATCCATAGACACATAAAATGAATATCAGTATATGGATCTTTTTTGTTTAATAAGCAATTGTGAACTAAAGAAAGCTTCCAGGCTTGGCACATATATATTCTTTCTGAACCTCACAGAAATTCAATGAGAAACATTGTATGCTTTTCCTCATTTCAGAAAACTAAGCCTTAGAAACTGTAAGCAATTCATCAATGGCCATAGAGCAACTAATTGGCAAATTTCTGAAGAGACCATGAATCTGATCTGCCTGACCGCAAATCCTTTTATATAATCCCATTAAGCAATTTTCTTCAATGTTTTCTCCTGTGACTAAGATGTTCTTTATATATATCTTCCAGGTCAAATTGCTAACATGAACCAAAAAATAATAAGTTACTTAAGAAAACAGTAATGTACACGTGTATTTACTTTGTGGAAAAATTATATGGGAAAAATGTTTAGAATACATATTTTTACTAGCTTTCATGGGTGATATAATTAAAAAGTAAGATTTATATTGGGCTTGTGAATTGGCATATATTTGTAAAAACATATTTCCAAGCAGAAGATTTTACGTAGGAAAAGGGACTGTGAGCTAAATGGATAACAAGGAAGGAGTCTGTGAAGAAAGGTGTGATACAAAAGAATTTGCTGGGTGGCTGGCCTCAAAAGCACACTTGAACATTATGATTTCAGATGCGCCCTAACAATGGGGAATGCCTGAACTGATTAAAGGAAAATGAGACTGAGGACAAGAAAGCTGATTAAGAGAAAATTACAGCAGTTAAAAGTGACCTCGGCCTTCACCAGATATTATTCCATTGAAAGGAAAAGAAATCATATTTGGGCAACAAAATTTGGTCAATTTTGTCCAAAGACTGAAATAAAACATTGATTTCCCTTTGCTAATTAAGCAAATGATTCAACTATCATCATTTTCACACCCACTAGTTTGGAAGTATACGAATCTATTTTACATGTTTCATATGAAGATTCCCTAAATGGAAATGTGACCAATTAAGTACAAAGAGAGAATTGAGAAGTTGAAAATATTCTGACATGTATTATTTGACATTTTTCTTAGGCTTCTGCTTTTATCCTGGGGAAAAAATCATAGGCTTCACATTAATGCGTATGACTTTTTTAGATTTATGAAAAATCTGCTATTCTCTATAGGTTAAGACAAAGCCTCTGACCCTTAGAAGCTCATAGACAAGTGGGAAAGAATACCAAAGACGAATATTTTTACAGCCTGTTAAGGTGTGTAGTTTTAGGAAAGAGGCAGAATTCTTCATGCAGTAAAGAGGAACTGTCCATCATGGCCTCTGAGTGGAAAGGAAGGTTTTCAAAACAAAACCCTTTCTAGCTACATCCCGTTAGATACAAACTGAACAGAGGATACCAATGAGCTATTCCAGGTAGAAGGAAGAGAATATAAAAAGGCATTAAAAATATACATGGCCCTAGGAAGTTATTGTAGTTCAGAATCACTGGAGTGTCATAGGGCATATAGTTGGTTGAAAAATTGCCATATTGAAGACCATGTGAGTGCTACCTTAGGCAGCACATGTACTAAAATTTGAATGTTTCAGAGAAAATTAGCATGCCTCCTGCACAAGGATGATATGCACATTCATGAAGCTTCCATATTTCTGAAATATTCACGAAGGAAAAAAAGAGGATTGGTAGGAGGGGAGGAGGGACAGAATAAGGGCAAAACAGTAAAATGAATCTGACCTAATATTCCTATGTAAAGATAGGGATATACCAGAGTGAAACTGACCATCATGTGTATCCACAAGGGACTAATTTTTTAAAAATCTGATATTAAATAGCAGAATGAACAGTACAATAGAGAGAAGGGAAGAGGCAGTAGGAGGCAAGAAAGGAAAAGCAAATTACTAGGGACTGAATTTGAGGAAAGTATATTCCATGCTTGTATAGGTATGTCAAGATTAATTCTAAAGTTATGTATAACTAAAAATAACCAATAAAAAAGACCATGTGGATTAAATAGCAATATAGTTACATCTTTAGCCATTCACCAGCAGGTTCTCTTCAGTACTCAAATCCACTGTAAGATATAGGATATGAACCTAAAGTACTCTTTGCTGACTTCATAACATGCCTTCAACCTCATCATTTTGCAGTACATGCCTCAAGCTACCCACAGGAAAATCTTGTATTTATCTCTTTGTTCACAATTCTTCAGTGTTTCCCCACTATTCATTCAATATAATCTAAACTCTTGAATGTAACAATTGAGAATTTTCTTTATCTGATATCAGTTTATCATGTCAAGACATAAATTCAAACTTGTAGTGATATTAATGAACATACCATTTGATGACTTATTCATTCTTGTATATGCTTTAAATCCTTGTATCTTTACACACTTTGAACATATTTTCATTACTCCTGGTTACAGAACAAACAGGCCTTTACATTTCCATATTTAAAAAATTTCCTCGATGTCACTCTTCATGTTTTCTTCACCTCTGCCTTTCTTAATATCACTTTGTGTTCAGATCCCATGAAACATTTTACACAACAATTTACCAACTCAGATTGTTTTGCCAACTATTTATTTCACATATCACTCTACCACAATAAAGCACAAATTCTTTGAAAGCAGGGAACAATTCTTTAATCCCTAGAATAGAAGTCTAGAATGATACTAAGCAAAACTGAACTCTAAAGAAAGTTTTTAGGCAAACAAATTATTGTATAAATACCAATGAGGAAATTTGAATTTGAGGTTTTTGAACAATGATTAATTGAGACATTTTGGCAGAAGAATAGTTGATTCATGGTGAGATTAGAATTTTCCAAATATGATTTTGGTTGTAATATATACTGAAATTGTGGATTTGTTTGTTCAACACTCATTCCAACAAGCAGCCTTCCTTGTTCTGCCTTGGCTGGAAACCTAATCCCTGCATTTCCCAGACTCTATTGCAGCCTGAGTTCCAGATGGAATTTAAGTTTCTCTAATGAGTGCACTAACAGGAGGCTTTGCAGAATTGAGTTGGTTATGGAGAGAGGCAGACCAATTTGTTGCTTGGATTAGCTCATAGGCAGCATGATTCTGGATGGAGCTGCTGTGGGGTTATGGGCTTCTGCAGTGACCGATCTCTGCAGTGAAGTTCCCTCTATTGCTCAGCTCCACTGTAGATTGTGTGAGCAATGTGCACCACTTAATAAACCCCATTCCTTTTAAACTATGGAAAAATTATGTGAAACAAATTTACTCTATTATAAAATTTTGGAATCCTTTGTGTTTTATTCTTAATTTTATTATCTCAAATTTTTTTCCTTCAGAAGTTGCTTAAATTTTTATAACTCTCTCCCATGTTAACAATACATTATCATTTTTGTTATTTGTTATTATATAACATTATTTTAACAAACCTGTGTGGAAGAGTCATAATAACTAACTCATTATTTTATTGATGTGAGTCTTATTCAAATATTGGGGGAGCTGTGGCTGTGGCTGGACAGTAGAGCACTTGCCTTGCATATGTGAGGCACTGAGTTCAATCCTCAGCACCACATAAAAACAAATAAACAAAATAAAGGTATTGTG